GTTTTGGATCTGATGTCACAATCTTTGAACACCTGTTTCCTCAGAAGTCTGAAGGCTGCATTCGTACATTTGAGGCAATGTTGGATTTCTTCATGCATGTCAGTCTTCTGTGACAGATGGCTTCAGAGGTACAGGAAATACTTCACATGCTCAGGAGTCTCATCATGGATCTGCATTACCGGAGCTGGAGATTGCTTATTAACCTTAGTCTTCTGAATGCTAAGCGTTAGTCCCATTGTCTTGTATGCCTCCATAAAGACATCAACGATTGCCTGAAGGTCTGCTTCTGAGCAAGCACAGACAACAGCATCATCAGCATACTGGAACTCAATGACTGAGATCAGGGTGGTTTTGGCTTGGAGTCAATGGAGATTAAACAGCTTACCATCCCAAACTTTCTTCATACCAGGGTTGGCTGCACTACTTCTAATTGTGCTGCCACAGTTAAAGCAGCACAACGTGTGCCTTGGTATCAATGAGTAAAAAAAATCTGTATCTAAGTCTCAAATGAAAAGTAAGTACCCAAGTACCAGATTTTCAAAAGGTATTTAGACATGAAGCATCTCCAGTGTCTACCTCCCATTGGAATCAATAGAAGGAAACTCCCAACTTGCTTGAGTGCTTTTGGAGACACCTATGGGACCTCTCCATCTCTAGGTTTGTAAACACACTTGATCACATAGCCCTAATCCATTGCACAATTTAGGCCCCCCCTTCGGTGTTTGGAAGACAATACATGGATGTTTTGGAAGTATCTGGCCACAGGCAAGAGAGAAGCAGAAGCAAGAAATCCTCCTATTGTATTTGCTATAAAATTAACTGAATTTAAACATCTCAGGTGACATGCAACAAAATCTGGTTAAGAACAAGGCCATAAGGGGGAGGGGGGAGAAGGGGAGGACTGGCAAATTAAAAGGGCTGTGATTGCCCTGCACTAATGGTTAGGAAAAATACACAAGAGCCATTCACTCCAATGAAAATAGCCCAAACATAGCCTCCAGAGCAGAGGCCTATTGCTCACCCAATGCGCTAAAACCCACAAGGCCTCAGGGTGTTATGCTGTGCAGTACTGTGTGAGTGTTGATGTTTTGCCCATGCACACACATGGGCCTCATTCTGCTCTCACCAAGTGCTCAGGAGTTACACTGATAACCAGAACCAGACACAAACCTTCTCTTTACAAACCGCTGAGCCAAGGAAAATTAAACGCATCAAAATCACTTCCCTTCCCCACCCCCAGGTCCCATGAGCATTCCTGCCACTTCCCTTCCTTCAGAAAGGCTGCTCGTGGCCATGCAATGTTGTTAACACTAGAAAGTTCATACTAACACAATTGTAATGGTACCAGCCAGAAAGGCTGTGGCAGTCAGGGCTCAGGTGTTTTCAGCCTGACCAGGAGAGAGTGAGATGACATGATGCTAAGTCACACGTACATTACAGATACCACAAGCAGAGATGAACGGCTGGTGAGCTACAGATCCAGGCTTCAACCACTTGTCCCAGAAGCTCTCCCAACTTTATCATCCCCTTCTCACTCAGGGTTTCACCTCCCTTCTGGCTTTTCCTCTGACCACTTTGTGACCAGAAGTAACTTGTCCCTGCATACCAGTTAACACACTAGCACATTACTTGGGAGAGATGCTGACATTTGATCCATTCCACTTTAGTGGAGGTCCCTTTGCCAAAAGGCAGCAGGTCTTCACTGTGCCAGCTGAAGAGAGAGCATGTGCTATACCAGAAGAGAAAGAAAATAAAAATGTAGAGGGACTGGTAACGCCCAGTTGATGCCAGAACAAACACCTCCACTGCAGAGCAGGGTAGGAGCTGCCCTTCCACTCAGAGCTGGAGATCCACAGAGCCCTGCCATTACAGGAATGCACCCGCAGCTAGTTCCTTGAACAAATCCTAGGCACTCACACCAGGACTGAACCAGAGGCATGAGACCTGACTCTCTTGCCCATCTCCTGCTTTACCATAGTGCTCTGCCCCTTCCCCTTGAGTTTCCCACTGCCTAGGCCAATCTGATTGCTGGAGAAGCCTTTCAACCCCCAACTCATGCAGAACTACACTCCCAGCCTTCTCCTGACAACACGCCTCACAGCAAGTCTGCAACATAGTCCACTTACTCGGGCAGAAGACTGATCAGCCACCTACTCCAGGGCCCCTTCAGACTTCATCCTTTCTGCTTCAAGGAGCAATGGGAACAGTAGTGGCAAGGGTGACATTTGCTGTTCAGTGATAGAGACACCTCTCTCATCATGAGGAGCCACCCTAGGCCCCCCATCCATACCCCCCACCTCCATCACCCACCACAGCAGATGGGTAGGAACTAGTTCTCTCCAGTGATCCAAGCTGTCCCCAGAGCAGTGGGTACAAAGGGATAAGCTGGCTTTATGAAACACCTCCTTCCATTTGGTACACTCAAACTGAGTTTTCACAAGGACCGTGAGCAAGATGGGCTGCCCAGTTTAAGGAGGCGCATAGCTTCCTTTTGCCATACTGATCAGGAAGCACAATGCTAATGTGTTCCTCAAGAACCATGGAACAAACTCCATATAAGCCAACCCCATTTATAGCAAATCCCTGTCCCACCCCCATTCCCCTTGTTAACGCAACAGGAGGAATGGATTTTTACCACATTGATTTAACCCTGTCATAGCAAATATCCTCTTTTCCCTTCTCCCATGGGGGTCCATTGCAAAGAGGTGACACTGTACGTTCCATAGACTTCTTTGGAACTGGACTGGAAGAAGGCCAATGTGGTGCCTATTTTCAAGAAAGGGAGGAAAGTGGATCTGGCTAACTATAGGCCCAGCAGCCTGACTTCTATCCTGGGGAAGGTCTTAGAAAAGTTTATTAAGAAGAGGCCATCCTTAATGGACTGGCCGATGCCAACATGCTGAGGGATAGCCAGCACAGGTTTGTTGTCGGTAGGTCTTGCTTGACCAATCTCATTTCTTTCTATGACCAAGTGACTTATCACCTGGACAAGGGAGAAGAGATTGATGTCATATATCTTGACTTAAAAAAACCCTTCAATCTGGTATCCCATGATCACCTCTTGGCGAAACTGGCCAGTTGTGGCCTTGGGTCCACAACGATCCGCTGGCTGGGAAACTGGCTCCATGGTCGGACCCAGAGGGTAGTAATTGATGGAAGTCAAATCATCATGGTGTCCTGTGACCAGTGGGGTCCCCCCAAGGCTCTGTCCTTGGACCCATATTGTTCAACATCTTCATTAATGATGTGGACAATGGAGTCAG